ATTCATCTTTTTTTTTTTCTGAACACACTTTTGGTGCCTCTCAGGACAGTTTCCAGTTTGTATTGTAGTTATTTATATACTTGTTTCATCTGACCTATGGAGGAAACTGTAAAAGCCATGAAGGTGGGAGCACCCTCTGACTCTTTGTCTGTCACAAAGTGCCTGCTAAGAATGGTTTCTTCTACAAAGGTGGAGCATGATCTATATTTAATCAAGGAGTAGATGAGCTCTTGCACAGTCTTCGTCATGTTCTTACTAACACTCTTGAATGACAGCTTCCAAGTTGATTCTATGCAACAAAAAATACTTTAATTCATTTTTCACATAAACGTGAAGGAGAGAGATGAGTAGAGGTAGGGTTACTATCTGCTTCAAACATACCTTTTTCTTATTCTTTCTTTTTTCTTTTCTTTCTTTTTCCTTCCTCCCTTCCTTTTTTTCTTTCTTTCTTTTTTTTTGAGGTAAGTTTTCCTTATGTAGCATGGCTGATCTAGAACTCGCTGTGTAGACCTGGCTGGCCTCAAATTCACAAAGATCTACCTGCCTTTTCCTTGAGTGCTGGGCCAGGCCAATGCTTCTTTCAGCTTCCTTGGATGATGGGTATGTGTTATGGATATAGACATGTTTTTGTTTTGGTCCCAGGTGTGGGATGTGGGACTGATTCAGATGATCTACTGCAGCAAACAATTTACCTCATTCAGCCTCTGATAGGAGCTCTTTGCCAGCTATAGATAATTTAAATCTGAGGACTCTGGAGAGAGAATAAATGCCAGAGCAGAGAGAGTGTGGAGGAGCTCCAAGAAAGAACAGGGCTGCTGCTGCTTCCCCCTGTGGCTCCTGGTTGCTGTTGTTGCAGTGAGACAAAAAGTTGGAGATCTGCTGAAACAAGGATTGGACTGGCTCCAAGGAACCCGACCACCCTAACCAGCAGGAAGCAGGTAAGAGAACTGCAGCCCCTCTCCCACCAACTCTTTCTCTCTCCTATCTGGTGTTGGGGCATTGGAAGGGATTGGGGTTGAGTAGAGAGAAAGAGATATAAAAAATGTAAATAAAAAGTTTTTTAAAAGTGTGCCAACAGATATGGCAAAAAAGAACTTAAGAGAACAGGTGATCTGGTCTCCGGGCTGTGTGATTATGATGAGGATCCTGGAGCTCCTGGTCTATAAAAGAGCTGAGGCTGATGGCATGATAAACTGTTGTTCCGTTTACATGGAGTCACCACAGTCTGCAGAGAACCGGGGCTGTCAGGGCTCCTTTCAGCCCTGGGAGGGTAAGGTTGTTAAAAATGTTCTGGATGGTGCATCAGCACTCTCTTGTGTGCTCACACTGTTCTGTCAGTAATAGCTTCCTAGAATACGGCATCAAGAATTTTGAGCCCTATTTGAACTTGGTGATAAAACCAGCTTTGACTTAACCCCTGTTGTCTGCCATGAATCACACAGGAAGGGAGTAGCAGCAAACAAAGCATGCAAGCCGATGCTTGCTGCCCACGGGAAGACAGTGAGCCCATGTAGGCCAGTGCCTGCTGCCCACGGGAAGACAGTGAGCCCAGGCATGACAGTGACTTTTCTCCATAAGAAGATGGTGAAAAGCTGGGTGCCGTGGCACATGCCTGTAATCCCAGTACTCAGGGAGGCAGAGGCACATGGGTCTCTGTGAGTTCCAGGCCAGCCTAGTCTACAAGAGGAGTCCAGGACAGCCAAGGCTACACAGAGAAACCCTGTGTTGAAAAGAAAGAAAGAAAGATATTAAGAACAGGCAGGTCAATGCCTGTTCTCCATGAGAAGACAGTGAACCCAATCATATTTAACCCTTCAACAGCCTCAAGAGATGGGATTGTTAGGGTTCCCATTGTGCAGATGGGATTATGGAAGCAAAATCTGCCTTAGGTTCATTGCCAGAATTTTATTCTTTTTTTTTTTTTTTTTTCAGAATTTTATTCTTAAGCATGTACTTCTGCTGTCTCCTGATTTGTAGCACTGGCTGTGTTCGGGCCAGTAGTTTTTTAGCCAGGAATCCTCCAGGAGCCTTTTGACAATGTCTGGAGACATTTTGGTTGTCCCAACTGGGTAGGACAGAGTGTTCTTTGTGTCTGGTGGGTAGAAGGTAGAGATGCAGCTTACAGGCACTGGACATCCTCACTTTCACACCAAGAATTATTGGGCCAAAATGTCAGTCACACTGAGGTTGGAGATTCTGTCTTGGTCTACCTGACAATTGTCTTCATCCAGGCAGCCCAGTAAGTGCAATGACTATTTCCATTTCACAAAGTAGGAAAGGTGATTGCTTACCCAGGAAGCATCACAACAACCCAAGAAGCCAGGGGGTCTGATTCTAGAAGCCCATGGAGTTCTTGTCCACACTCCATTATAGCCAGTTTCCTTTACTATGAAAACATGCAAAGTAGTCAGGCGGCACCTGCTAGACTACTAGGAATGTCAGAGGCTAAAAACTCTCAGGAAGACCAGCGAGCTGTCTCAGGAGAGTCAAGACACCTAGATCCCTAGCACCCACATGGTTGGGTGAGAACCAACTGCTGCAAGTTGTTCTCTGACCTCCACATTTATGCCATGGTACATGTAAACACATACATGTTACATACATGTAAACACATACACAATCGATAAATGTAAAGAAAGAAAGGCGCTAGGCCAACTACAGAAAAATCCCCCAAGGTGGTGGAGTATCTACAAAGGTGAACAGTATTTGTACAGCTCTTCGGAGAAGAGGGCTCTAGAAACTTACTATGCAGCCATTGATCTTTCTCTAGTACATTCAGATCACTGCACTAAAATAAGACTGTGGAGAAAGCTAATTTTAGGACAGTAACGAGCTTTTGCAAGATAATTAACTCTGCGTGGGTTTCAACTTTAATCTTTCCCCTCTTGATTTGTAGGAGCGGGAGGGAGCGCCAGTAAGTTTATTTAGAAGAGGAAGGGAAACTGAAAAGACTCGCTGAGATTCCTCTTTCTTGGAGGCAAAGCAGTTTGAATATGAATGAATTTCTCATCCTGTCTCATTAACTGCCTTCAGTATCAACAGGAACACACAGTCAGCTTGGAAGAATCAGAAGAAGAAACAGGAAGCCAGTTTGAACAGTAAAACTGTGGCTGACTGTCCAACCTGTGGCTACCAGGCCATTTGGTACAGGCTACAGCCTCTTTGGGTTCTGGGTAGCTATGAATCGGGCTCAACACAATACATGGCTATAAGTGTGTACGCATATAGTTATTGTGTAATCTGGAGCGTGAACTTTGGAGATGATAAACACAGTTTGCAAAGTCCAAAGGTTGGGTTCCCCGGCAGCAAAGACATTCCTTTGGGATAAAAGGTGTCACCTGTAGGAAAGCAAACCCAGATGCAACAGGATGGTTTGGAAGTGGGGAAAGGAAAAGAAGAGGGAAGATGTCTTGGGGAAGAGTTACCGGAAGTAAAGCAAGGCGCTTAGGCGCCTGAGCGTGGGCAAGGTGCCTTTGGTTCCACTTGGTCCCTGCGGCTATCAGGACTGTTTTCAGCTGGTGCTCCTTCCAGCTGGGGTAGTTTAGGAAGCCCCACATCACACTGAGATTGCCACCCCAGTGCTAGGGCTCACAACATCTAGGGAATCTGCAGTCCTAGCCAAGCCTCCCTGGCCACCTGCCAGAGCCAAAGCAGACAGACCGAGGGAGTGCATCCGCGGAAAGTTCCAGAAAGCGAATATCCAAAGCGTAGTGAATGAAGCGTGGATGTGGAAAGAGCCTCAGAATCCTCAATATGGGGTTCACACTGACAATATTGAGCGCTGCAGGAGGCGGCTGGCTCGTACATTTGGCATTCTGGAGCGTCCAGAGTGTCAGCAGCTGAGCCAAAGGAGTCAAACTGCCCAGCTGGGTGAGGCAGGCCAGATGGGTCTTAAAAGGGTTAAATAGCATCTGCAGTTCCTAGCCCCTGGGAAAATGCTTCCTAAATCCTATAGCTGCTGCAAGTCTGAGAGCCTCCTCCTCCCAGAGGACCTCAGGGGCCTGCGCCTTTCATCACTCATTCCTTCCAGCACTCTGCATGGCCCGGTCTCCATGCTAACAGCTCACCAATGTTTTCCTGACTATAAATGTATACTCGCTTTGGTTTATCATCTGCTTCCTCTCTAAAAGGCAGGTTCTGAGAGGGCAGAGCCCTTGTTGCCTTCACCGCAGGAGCAAGGTCACATCTGTTTCTGGCATTCATCATTCCCTTTCCACAGGGCCACCTGCGGCGCGGGACTCATGTGCGGTCTGCAAATTGACCTCAAATTATCAGTGGCTGGCATCCAAGCTAGGATTCTGCCAAGCGGGCTGTGGAGTCGGATGGGCCTGGCCCGCTAGCCAGAGGCTCCTGCGTTTCAGTCGCAACGCGGTTCTATCTTTTTCCCTGGCCCTCGGATTGGGACTGTAAGAACAGCAACCAATCACCTTTCTCTCCTCCTGCCTCTCCCTGCCCCGAACCAGTCTGCACTATTGCTCCTCAGGGTCGGTCCCGGGTGTCCGAACCCAGTGTCCCCACACCAGCTCTGCTCCTCGCCCCTGGGCTCGTCTCACATTTCCCCCTTATTTATTCTCAGTCTTTTTCAGTGGTCAAGTGATTATCCCCTTTTGGACTACTTGAGTCCCAGGACTCTTCTTAAAACTAATCTTCCTCCGAGTCATTCAATAAACCTGCACTGAGAGCCGTTGGGGCGCACGCTGCCCCACCCAGCCACACCTACCACCACCCTCCGCCCCTCTACACGCCCTGAACCCAGGGTGGCGTCACAGAATCCGCCTGCAGCTTCCAAGTGCATGGCCCCGCCGCCTTTCCCCGGATGACTCCTGATTGGTGGGAGTGGGAGCCACTCCGCTGCCCCCCGCCCTTTTCATGATGTTCCGCCCCACAGGGGACTCGGGCTCCTCCTTCCTAGCTCCCTCCCCTCGCTCCAGCGCTTCAGCTAATCGCCCGCGGCGCGCGCCCTAAAGTTCTGGGCAAAGTACTGAGAACCGGTCGCGCGATCGCACGCCAGCCCGTGGCAGGGCACCGGGGGCCCCGGCGCCAGGAGAGCTGGTGCGCAGCGCGGGCTTCCGCCCACCATCTGTCGGCGCCCGGCGCCCCAGTCTCCTGCGGCCGCTGTTGGAACTGCCGTCGGCTGAGTCTTGCAGAGACCGGAGAAGCCGGGTTTGCGTCCTTCCCGGTCTGGGCGACTAAGCGGCGTCCTCAGCCGAGGAACGCTCAGGTGAGCGGCAAGGCGTCCGCCGGCCTGGGGTTGAGGTGTGGTGGCAGCACGGGGAAGGTTCGGGGGCGCTGCCAGTCTCTAAGGTCCGGAGTGTGCCCGGAGTGCTCCCGGGAAGCCGGCCCAACGGTCAGTCCTGAGACTGGGAGGTCCCCTGAGCTGTCGGTGCCTGGGAGGAAACACCCCGGTGCTGCTCATCCTGGAGCTGTGCCCCTCGAGTGACAGCCGGACCTGGGTGGACTGGGAGAAGGAGCGGGGCGCAGGAGCCTGTGTGCGGGTGCGTGAGGATGCCGCGCGGAGGAGCTGTCCCGGGCACAGCCTGGTGCCGTGCGGGGGCGGGAGGCGCAGGAAACCTGCTTAATTGGGCCAGGAGGGAGGCTCTACCACATCTGTGAGCTTGGGCCCCGGCGCGGCAGGCGCCTCGCTCTCCGGCCTCCCCAACCGGGTCACCACGCTCCAGTGTGTCTGCACTGGGACCGAGAGCGCCCTTTCCGTGGGGCTCCAGGCAGTCAGCCGGCGTCTGCTGCCTCTGGCGTCGCCTGTGGCATCGCCTTGTGCCCTTCAGACACTTTTTAACCAGCCTCGCGCCTCCCTGACTGTTGAGGCTGAGAGGGATGCAAAGTTGTCTCTCACCTTGTATCTGGGTACCGCGCTAGGGGAATTGGGAGTCCCCTGGGATGTCGCTGTGCCCTAGGGTCCTTTCTGACTACTGGATGAGGACATTTGGGTACTGTGGTTTACATGGTAGCTGCAAAAGATGATTTTTGCATAGGTCAGTCAGACTTCTGGTCCCCTTCAAAGCATCATACAAGGTGAGGACCTCCTTTTGGCCGACGGAGACCTTCAGACAGATTGCAGCGCATCTAAGCTAAATGTCCATGTTAGCCACCCACTCCATGCTGCCTAAAAGCTGCCTGGAATGATCTTGTTTTTCCAACTGCCGGCCGTCTTCCGCTGCTAGGATGCCAGTCCTGGGAAAGCAGAGACCTGGTCCTGTTCCTTCCTCATTATCTTTCCTCAGTGTTAAGAACGCAAGCTACCACACTGCGGGTTCACAGTACACATTTATGGAATGAGTAAATGTAACTTCTCCATAAATCCGAGCATACTGACTCCACAGCTTGTTTGGGCATCCCTCGTTTTCCTTTTTTATTGGGGAAACTAATGAATGTCGGTAACTACTGCTGATGAGCACCTACTAACCATCAAGGTTTTCGCTGGAGCTTTGTAGAGATAATCACTAACACCCAGTAGTGTGATTAGCTAGTTTTTTTTTTTTTTTTTTTTTTTTGTAATTTTTTTGAGACAGTATAGCCTTGGCTCCTGGACTCACAGAGATGATTGCCTCTATCTCGCCCTGTTCTGGGATTATAGATGTGTGCCGATGTGCCCAGCCTAGCTAGATTTTTTAATTTTCTTTCCTTCCTCCCTCCTTCCCTCCCTCCCTTCCTTCCCTCCTTCCTTCCTTTCTCTCTCTCTCTCACTTTCTCACTGACAGGGTCTCTCTGTGTACCCTTGGCTGTCCTGAACTTGCTTTGTAGACCAGGCTAGCCTTGAACTCACTGAGATCCTCCTACCTCTGCCTCCCTGAGTACTGGGATCAAAGGCGTGTGCTACAGCGCCTGTGCTTGTGCATACAGGTGTGTGGTGGTTAGAGGACTTCAGCTCTCTCTTTCTCCCTCCCTCTCTCTCCCTCTGCCTTTTACTCACAGCCATCTCCCTGACCCAAGCTGGACATTTTTAGCGAATTGGAGGGTTAAGGCTCTTGTGTGTTATAGCCAGTTCTCCCAAGGCTTTCTGGGCAGTACTTTGACTCTAGTGTTTTCTCTTCTGTTGGGCCACTTTGAAGAGATGAAAATGTGGTTTTCACTTTCACAGCCAATGGAACGTCGTCGTTGAGCCAAAGGAGCCGCTGTTTTATCCGTTTTCAAAAATGACTAATAGTTGTAGACCAGGTACTACCAGACCGGACAGGGCGCATTATGTCACCATCTTGACAGGCTTTACACCGAGGAAACTGCAGCTGGGATCAGGAACTTGCCTGGGGTCAATAGCAGTTCCCCAAGCCCTTCACTGTCTTTCTGCCTCGAAACCCTTAGCTCCTTCCACCGTCCTGTGATATCTCTTGCCCCACTCTTTAGTCAGTGTTAATCCAGTGATGGATCCCAGTGGTAAAATGTGCTTGCTAATGCTGTCTGAGACCAGGCTGTAAGCTTCATAAGTGCCGGCATCAAATGGATCAGGTATACTGTTCCTGAATGGCTGAGGCGCTCACTGCCATTGATTTTTTTTTTTTTTTTGAGTGTGTTTGTGTGTCAGAATATATGGTTTGTGGGCTTGGGCCATCAGGAGCTTTTAATAGCGAGGAAAGGATATCCCCCTTTCATCCAGATCCAGAAAGAAACCAGGCTGTTTTTTTCCCACTGTGGTAAATGAGCTCCATGATGCTCCGTGATGGAAACATCTTGTTAGGAAAGTCCTGGAAAGCTGAGCAGTTCCTCTCCTCTCAGGTACAGAAACCGCTCACTCCAGAAGGTTCTGCAGTGACGTTTCAGTACAATAAGAGCATTTCAGCTCTTTCTAGCCTTGCATGAAACTGAGGGTGTGGAGAGGGTCAGATCGCCTCCTAAAGGGCCAGTAACACTTATGTCCCTCTTTCTTCCGCTTCCAGCCAGTTCTGGGGTAGCACAGTGCTTCTCTCAGCACGAAGGTCTGGCTAGCCCATCCTTTGATTTATAATGTACTTCTTGGCATGATTACCTTTTCCTAATTGACATTTCCATTTCAAGAGCCCCATGGAGGGCTAGATTTGAATGCCCCAGAAGGGTGTGTGTGTGTGTGTGTGTATGTGTAAGGCATCAGGGGCTGTGGGGAGCTGTTAAGCAGAAAGTGATTTCTATGCGTAATTGAGAGCCTCACAGTTTCCTGCAAACTCCCGTTCTGCCTAAATCCACCCATTCATCAGCTTTCTGGCTTTCTCGAGAAACTTCTGTTTTGCCTTCTCAGTTACATCTGTTCAGGCCACATTCCTGCTTTGCTCCACCCCATCTCAGGATCTTTCCTAGTCTTTATGTAGCCTCTGCAGTGTCTTAGTTTGCGGACTTCATTCTGCCTTAATGTTGCCTTTCTGTCTCCTGTCTACCATGAGTAGTAAGGCAGACACTTTAAGAACTGTCATTATTGAGCCGGGTGCGGTGCCACCGTCCTGAAATCCCAATATTTGGGGAGGATCTCTTATGAGTTCAAGGCAGCCTGGTCTACAAACTGAGTCCAGAACAGCCAATGCTACACACAGAGACCCTGTCTCCTAAAAACCAAAACCAAGACCAAACTAAAAACAAAACCAACCAATCAAACAAATGAAAGATCTGTCATTATTGTATTGTTAAGAAGTCTTGGGTGGCTATAGCAGCAGCTTTGAACTTGGATGGGTAGAGCCGACTGTCGTGCGTGTTAGCCTTTCTCCATCTTAAAAGCCTCATCAAAGCAGGTGATTAAACCTCAATGACAAGGTGAGCCTAGGAAATGCTCAGTTCAGTTTGCTGTTAATAAATGTTGGAGCTGAGGGTCAAACCCCAAATCCCTTTCTCTACCCAGTTAACCTAACTTCTTAGCCCAGCGCAGGGTTCGGGATCACGGGTTCATTCCTGGCCTTCTGTGTGCTGGTAACCTGAACCTGGTCACTAGGATGTCTGACTTTTGTGCATGCATGCTTAGTGTTTTCCGCGCTCTCACTGACTTGCCCTGTAAGAACCTAAGCCTTTCAAGGCTGCCGAGTTTAGAAACTTCATCCGCAAGCAAGCATAACTTCTGTGAACCCAAACTGTCAGAGCACTTAAAAAAACAAGACAGGGTCTAACTGTGTGTCCATGGGTGGCCTAGAACTCTTTGTGTAGACCAGCCTGGCTTCAAACTCACAGTGCTCCACCTGCCTCTGTCTGCTGAGTGCTGGGATCAAAGCCAGTGCCTCCTGGCCTGGTTAAAACATTTTTTTTTTTTTTAAGTGTGAATGAACACCCAGTTCTGGTCATTGAATATACTGTTGGTTCCTTTTCTTTCTTCACTGTTTCTTTTATATCTCCTGGTCCTTTTTATTTATTTTTTTTCCAGACAGGATTTTTCTGTGTAGCCTTGGCTGTCCTGGACTCACTCTGTAGACCAGGCTGGCCTTGAACTCAGAGATCTGCCTGCCTCTGCTTCCCACAGTGCTGGGATCATAGGCGCCGCGCTATCGCCCCCAGCTCTGGCCCACTCTTCATATTTAAATGTATTGTACTTTTCTAGATTTTATTTTTATTCTTGTTGTGTGCCTGTGTGAAGTATTTGTGTATGTTCATGAAGGTGTACATGCATGTACGTGTCTGTCTCTCCCAGCGCTGAGATTGCTGTGGGCTTTGGTGGTCTACTGGTATCTTTATGTTTGCACCTTACCGTCTGAGCCGTCTCCCCAGCCCCCTTTCCTAGGTTTTAAATGTCTTAAAGACAGGGTGAGTTGATTCTTCACATAAAGATCTGGTATCCTATTGGTAAAAAACAAACAAACAAACAAACAAACAAATAAAAACAAAAAACCCAACTCAATTAAAAAATTAGACAATTATATTTGGTTACATTTGTGATAAAAAAGCAGTTGGAATGTGTTATTCTGTTTTCTGGTTTTTTATTTTAATACAGGGTGTTGCTGTGTGGCTCCCGGCTGAACTTACCATTCCCTTGCCTCTTCCTCCTCTTCTTCCTCCTCCTCCCCTACTTCTTGTTTTTGGTTTTTCAAGACAGGGTTTCTCTGTGTAGCCCTGGCTGTCTCCTGCCTCTTGTCGATAAGTGCTGGGATTGCTGGCATGAGCCTTCTAGCCCAGCCCTGTTGTCTAGTGTTTGACCCACAAAACTCGCATACCTTTAGAAGTTCATGCTGAAGCGTCAGAGCATCTGGTGATATCCGTGCGGAGCACCTATTCTGAGCATGCTCCCTTTTAGGCCTGTTTTTCTTATTTGTGCTAAGGCTC